AAGCATTGATTTTTTTTTTTTTTTTTAATTTAAGAAACCTCAACAACTTTATAATCAATGGAGTCCTTGCAATACGAGACAAGATCTTGCTTGTATGGACATGAATGTAGCATATGCACTACTTCTTGTGTTTATTCCCTTGTCCAATTCTACAATAAATGAAGATTCTTACCACTTGGATTTTCTTAAACCACCACCTTTGTTTCCATTTTAGGTGTACAGTCCTCTCTCTAAAATATTAAAAGGAAAATTTAGAGGTAAAAATAATTAATTTAAATTTTATAAATTTTAAGGTTAGTAAAAGTTGATATAATTGTTAATTTTAAAATTTATAAAATTAATTAAGATATATATAAGTTGATATAAATACCTCTCTATATATATATATATATTCTAGGGGAGGACAAGTGAGAATGGACTTACTTTTTTTTTTTCAAAATAAATAAATAAATAATTCTTAAACACACGATGTGTCCACCTTCAAATCTTGATATCATGTCCAAATAAGTGCCACATCATGACCACCTTTCCATGTTTTGTCTCGTATGAATATTCCTAGCCTCTCTTCCCTTTTACATTCTCTCTTGCTAATATTAATATTGAGAGGGCAAGTGGGATGCGATGTGAACCCTTTTTTATGCTTTATATTCCATTATCACTCATCACTTCTTATCACCTTAGGACCGTAGTACTCTTTCAGGCATGGATTAATTATTTGTCAGTTAGCTTTATAACGTGGATTAACTTAATGATGATCCATGATATGAACATGTATTTAGCAAGTGGGTCAGCATTGGCCGCAGCACAAACTTGAAATTCTTTCACATTGAGATATTTACTTCATATCTAGGAATGAATATATGGAAATACAAGTATAGTTAAAGTGGAGCTTGTATTATTTTCACATATTTCACCTCTTCTTCTATTTTTTGTTTTAAAGAACCAAAACCATTATAAATTTGAAAATTTCTCATTACTCAGTCATCTGCTCATCTTTTTAAAATACTCAAAGTCATCTTCTCATCTTCTTCACCTTCACTTGTGTTAAGAATAATATATTTAGTATTATGATAGTTAATATTGTTGTGATTTGAAAAAATTATTTTTAGTTGGGGTTCGTTTAAAAAAATAAATATTTGGTTAAAACTGTGATTAAAATAGAAGTTGAAGAAAAAATAGTTTAATGTGTTTGATTAAAAATGCTTTTAAAATTGAGATTATAAAATAATTTTAAAAAATATATATTAATATTAATAGATTTTTAATTTAAATATTGTAGATTTAACTATTACTATTATATCATAAAATAAATAATACTTTATATAAAATATTTTTTACTGTTTCATTAATTTTTTTAAAAGCGCAACAACACAGGTAAAATATAATCAGGAATAAAATTAGGATTAAGATCAAATTCTACAAATATTATGTCATCAAACAATCTCTATCTAATTTATATACTGTCATCGAATAATGTTTAACACTATTTTTTTTAAATAAAACACAATTAAAAATAAAAAATATTTTTTTATCTTGTTAAATATAACCTGGTTCAATACATTTTTAGTATTGAACTGAACTGGTCCGGCTAGAACATTGGAGCATGCTCCACTATTCATGAAAAAAAAACCCATAAATAATAAAGCATGTTTCATTGTTCATGAATTTTCCAACTCAAGAAATAATAAATTGCTGCTTCTTGCAAACTTGTAGCCATGCGATAATTAATAGTAGGTCCTATCAATATAAATTTGTTGTCAGAACATTACTAAGTAGTTGAATTGCTATAATTGCTTTAAATACATAAACAATCATATAACCAAACACATTCTAAAAATAATTAAAATAGACCTTGTATGATTTTCACTTATTAATTTCACCTCTTCTTCTAATTTAAAAGAGAGACGAAAACCATTGTTAATTTTCGGTTTTCTCAGTAAATCATGTATGTGACTCACACATCTTGAATTGTTGATGGATTTTACTTATGTTACGCCATCACGAGCTAGCAGTACTGGCCTAAGGATTAAGGCAGCTTTTAGGAAGTAGTAATTTTATTTATGATAAGCAAACAGTGGAAAATTAAGCATATTCTACTTCTTAGTTAACAAATTAATACCTATATGAGGATTCTGTCACGGATGATGATCTCTTACTTTAAAGCAAAATGTTAGCTGCTCTACAATGAAGGAGAACAAGTCTCTATTTATTTATTTGTGATAAGCAAACAGTGGAGGCATATTCTACTTCTTAATTTGTTGCCTTAGCAAACACCTAGAGGAGGATTCTCTCACGGATGATGATCTACTTCTTTAAATTAAGCAAATGTTAGTTGCCCTACAATGAAAGAGAACAAGTCTTTAAACCTTGTGATATAGCCTGCAAGAAGATGACCCGTGATCACATACATGACCAACATAATTATGAATATAAGATAGCCTGCAAGAAGATGACCCATGATCACATACATATACATGACCAACATAATTATGAATATAAGGAAAATCTATCTCGTTTTGGAGCATCCCAAGCTCCAGGAGGAATTCACACCATATGCTCTCAGTTGTGATGATATTTTTGAGGTTGTTTGAATCATATCCTTGAGCTCTTATATATATATATATATATATAAATCCATGGACCATGACTTCGTGACATATTTTGGCTGGAGCCTTGCTACATGTGTACCATGAATTTATCTTGACATGTTTTCAAGGTGGATAGCTTTATGGCACAATTTGTGCCCCACATGATAGAGATATTGATGATATGCAAAATGTAATGCAAATTCAAGTCATGCTGGGCATCGGAAGGATTTAATAAGGGAAATGGGGTTGTTTATGTGTGCTATATATATATGGTATGAACTAGCCATGGAGATGAAGAAGAAAATAAGAGTAACGCATGCCCCCAACAAATTTAAAGACAACCTTCTTGTATTATCTTCTATAATTAAAACATGCTTAATCAAGAAGGAAATGAAAGAAACATCAAAACATGACACAACTACGAGCTGTCTGCCCTCTAATTACTTGCGGGATCTGAGACGATCATGATCAAGAACAGTACTGATCACAAAGCATAAGTTTTTTTCCTTGGTGAATCTGCAATTTTTAAGGTCTCCTCAATGAGCTTCTTGGCCTTTCTGCTTCTTATCTCAACTCTCATGCTATCACTCTTCTCAATCTTATCATAAGGTTTCTTCATCTTCAAACTTCTTATTTTCGATTTCAAGTTCATCATCAAGCTCCCCAGTCCGATCGTCATCATGGCCACTACCTTAAAGCACTTGTTAGCCACAAAAAACAACTATCAGCACCTTTTAGAAAAACAAAAAAAGCCATAAAAAAGAAGATCAAGAAAAGAGAAGAAAGAGTGCCTTGAGGAACCATTACTTGCAAGAAAATAACTTGTAGACAAGCAAGAAAAGGAGAGCGAGAGACTGTATAATCTATGGCACTATCACAAGGTTGGAGAGAGAGGATGAAGATATGGTGGCACGCACTGAAAATGAAGAGGAGAAGTGGAGGGGTTGGGGAGATGAAATGAATGAATGCAAGTGACTGTGAGAGGTCACAATGCAAGCATTAAGAGCTTGGAAGGCAGACCACGCAATACTCGAGAGCTATATTGACCTTCCGACCTCGCTGGCAAATTCTTGAGCATATATAAAATATAGTTTGTGGCATTTAATTAAATGCACTCGAGATTTAATTGGGTGTGTTTTGTGGTATTTAATTTAAATCCATCTAACCTATCTCTAAATCAAGATTCAAATGTATGCATCGTATTTTAAGAAATCATATATTTCCCTTGTATTTATTAGCTTTCGAGGCCCCATAATTTTGCAATTATAGACTTGATCTCATTTAGAAGATACGATTATTTTTTTTTAAAAAAAAAAATTGAGGTCAATGTGTTCATACTAATTTATTAAAGTTGGTATGAACAAAATAATTGACCGAATGAATAATAAAGTTATTGATAAAATAATTATATTAATAATATTTAATTTATAATTTGATATTCAAACCATTTTTTTCCTCATCCCTTTTTGTTATTTTTCTTTTTTTATTATGCATTTTTTTTCAACAAACAATTACTCTCTCTCTCTTTCTCTCTAATCTTAACACAATTCAACTTTTTATAACAAATCTAGTCATCACAACATTCACAACATTCAGTTTG